GGAGCAGGGTAGGGAAAAGATACTAAATGGCCCTGTTTTCTTGGTAGGCATAAGCCTCTGCAATTGCTTCAAGCAAGAGGGCAGCTAGTAGATTTAAACAGAAAAGCATATTCTACTTGTAGACTTAGAGATCAGGGAAACCTGCAGATTCAGCATTTTAGGAGTGTCCAACAGGACCCTGACCTTTGTGTCGCAGATTTGTTAGGATTGAGAATGCCGTCTTCCTCAGAGCTCTGTTATTCTTTTAATGATATCCTGAGTCCAATCTTAAACATTTTTTGTCTTCTGGCTTTGGAGTCTTTTTATATACTGCCACAGAAGCTTTCACACTCTTCCTTATAGTGGCTATTAATCATCCAGCTTTTTATTTCTTTCGTAATGCAGTAATGGTCCCCACTGACACCCATCCAAATTTCAGTCTTTTTAGTAATTACTTTTTCCAAATCTCTTAAGTATTTGAGATATGTTCCTGGCCAGAACATTCCCATCTTCCACTATCCATCTCAATTCATTTCTCGTGAAAGAGTTAACAATTGCATGACTGCAACCTTCAAGTTTCTCATTGTTGTCTGCACATGTGTGATCCAACTCTAATAAAAATCCCATTTCAAGCTTCTTTCCTAGAACCACACCTCATATCATAGGTTGGCTTTTCCAAGAAAAGTACATTGAGGTACAGAGATTTTTTAAACAGAGGGTTTATTGAAGCATGCTCTCTGAAATGGTGCCCTGTAAGGAGTAAGAAAAGCACTAAAGGGTAGAGGGAGAAGTTAAATTATGATGCATTTATAACCATGGCCTCAGCCTTTTGGGAACCCTGAAGCTGGAATGGCCCTGCACCGTTGTCCTATTTCAAGCAAATGGGTCAGGATTTTGCATTTCCCACATTGATTAGCACTAAATATGGATTGCTCCCAGGCTGATGGGTAAACTTGGGTTAGGTAGCTTCCTTTAGCCAAGAGAAATTCCTGCAGAGGGACCCAACTATAAGCCATCAGGGACTAACACTTCTGGCATTGTTGGGTTTTGGTCCCAAGAGAAATCTGAATGAAGCAACACAGCATTATTAACAGATTTATCACCCACTTGGGGCTATAGGGGAAATACTACCACACAGTGAGGATGGTAGAAAAAGGATAAAATGAACCTGAGTCCTTGATGCTATCTATCTCTAAGTTGTCAAATGATTCCTGACATTGCCCCTATCTGAAGTAAATGATAACTTGTAATTAAAGATCCAATATGTACCATAAGAAGCTGCTGTCCCTTGACTTAGTGAATAAGATTAAGTGGTAAGCCCCAAATCCTACATTTACATCCAAATTGACAGAATCTTATAAATGTGACAAGAAAAGAAAAAATCTTTGTAGATATCATTAAGGATCTTAGAGATGAAGAAACCACTTTGGGTTAAATGGGAGGGTCCTAAATTCAATAACAACTAAATTCAATGTTCTTATAAGAGTAATATGTGGGAGACTGACAGAAAAGAGGTGCTAAAGATTCCAGAAGCTGAAAGAACAAGAACAGAATCTCTTTTAGAGTCTGTGAAGCCTGATAACCCCTTGATATTTTGGACTTCCAGTTTGCAGAAAAATTTGGAGTAAGGCTATGAATCACCAAGTTTGTGTTAATTTGTTACAGCAGCTTCAAGAAACTAGTAACAATCAGCATCCTTCTCTTTTATTCAAAATACTTTCTATTTCCCTTTCTCAAGTAAAAGTGATCAGTGCATCATTCTTCTAGTTTGGTAGAATATATTCCTTATGTGGTAAATTTACATTAAAGTACCTTTACAAAAGAGAAAACTTAAAATCCTTTCTCAATATATGCTGAGGCACCTTAAAGACATGAATGAGCATTTTCCTGGGAAGAAGGGCTAGAACCATTATATTCTCACTAGGATGTCCAAAGGATCCAAAAAACTAAGAATTTCTAAAAAGAATGTGGGCAAATAGGAGGCTGAGAAGTAGTTGAGCTCTGAGAGAAATGAGAACAAAGATGATAAAAAACACAAAGAGATTGTATTTCCAGTATTTGAAAGCAAGAAGAATTTTGTGTGCCTGGTTAGAAGACTTGGAGTCCACATCTTTAGAAAGAAATTTTGGATTCTTCATAAATGCAGGTCAACAAGCTGAAGTTACAAATGTTTTGCAAAGCAGATTACAAAAGACCGAGTTCATTCAGCCTTCAGTCTGAAGGCAAAAAAAAATTTTTTTTCCTGAAAGGAGGTTTAGGAGGTTAGACAGAAGTTCAGATTTCTGTAGTTGAATCTTGCAGGTGATTGAAAAAGGTACATTCTGTCTCAGTGACAAATAAGTAAAGTGCTGTCTTAACAGAATTTTTTCTATTATACTGGGGAGAAAATACAGGTTAGAGAATGAAATGAACTTAAGTCTGACCCTGAAAAGAAAAAGGAATAAGAAACATTTTCTGAGTCTGCCTCAATGAAAAAGTTATGAGATGAAATTTAGATGATATGGAACAAGTCTAAGCCAGAATCTTGACTGTCAAAAACATCAGACCCCACTGAATAGCAGCAAACATCTACCCAGGCAGTAAATGTGCTGGAATCCCCTGCACTATTTCCCCATGAAAGTATTAGGCTGTTGGAAAAGTCATGATGTATTTTTTCTGTGTTTTTCAAGCAAAAATACACTATGACTCTTCCCATAGCCTAATACCGGAGTTGGGGTAGAAGTAAGACTGGAGAGAGGAGAGGTGAGTTTTGTGAGAGCAGCTTCGTTTCTCAAAAACTGGAACAGGGTCGGAGCCTTCCATAATAAAATTGCCACGTGGCTTTTTTTTTTTTTAAGATTTCTTTATTTATTCATACAGAATTGGGGTACAAGCCAGAGATGCAGGGGCAGTGAGGGAATTTATCAGAGACAGAATGGGGAGCAGAACAAGCCTCCCCTCCTGCTGAGGGGAGTAGCGGGTGGGTCAGGAGAGGTCTGCGGCACCATGTGGGTCAGCTCAGGGACTGGGATCAAACTCCCACTAAGCAGTAGTGCTGTAAACTAACCCATTGCACCAGCGGGGAAGGCCTGCTATGTGTTTTTAAACAAATTGCCCCACAGCTATTTACTGTTAGTGCTAAGAGAAGCCCTAACACTCAGAGCCAGGTCTTCACCAGAGGCTGTCAGCTCTGCTATCCCAACCACAAGAAAACATCCTTCATCAAATGGGACCCTGGTCCTTGAAATGTCACAGACTAAGTTAAGGCTTTTCTGCCACACACCTGGGATACATCATCCAATAGCTCATTTGTAACCCTTTACAATAAACATTTCATAAGCTGGGGCAAAAACTTATCAAGTGATTTTATCCTTATTTCATGTTCTTTTCAAGCGGGTACTAGATTGTGAATGGCCTCCAGCCTCTTTTAGGGTTTGCTGCTGTCAGACCTCCCAATTCTCATCTCACTTTCACAGTCCAGTGATGACTTTCTACTTGGGTCTAATAATAAGTGAAAAATATGCAGACTATTTCATTAATAAGCACATATAGATATTTTAAGTAGCAGGCCTTAATACTACCTAACACTTTAAAAAGATTAACCCATTTAATCTTCAAGACTTATGAGGTAGTTTCCATTTCACCTCCGTTTTACAGAAGATGAAACCTGTCATATAGCTAGTGAGGGGGGTATCCAGGATTTTATGGGTAACAGAGTGAAGAGCAGAACAGGAAGATGTTTTGAAATACACTGCTGAGGGCAGCAGTGGGCAGGTCAGAAGTGGTCTGTTGTACCAGAAGTTAATCTCCCTGGTCGGGGATCAAACTCGTGCTGCAGTGGCTGCAGATTGCCTCATAGAGCTGCTACTTAACCCCTGTACCACAAGGGAGGCCCCCAGAAGCCAGGATTTAAACAAATCTATGCAATTAACAATATACCAAGCTACCTTAAGTAAGTGAAGAAGAATTATCAAATAATTCTAAGAAGTAAGTGAAGAAGAATTATCAAATAATTCTAAGTGCTCATATGTAAGCATCTTTTGATGGGAGACTTAATTTTTTTTTAGATAAATGAAGATTATAAAAGTGCAGGAAATCATCTAGAATGTTCATGTGGACAAGTCTTAACCATTTTTAAACTTTAAAATTTAAAGTTTATGAAGCTTTGTAGCATATATACATTTGTAGTGCTAGTTGATACGAAGGTAATCACCACTCAAATCTATATGCATTTTTAAATCTAGTATATTTATTTGATTATAAAAGTAATAAATGTTATTTGAAGGAATCAGGAAATCACATGGCAAAAAGTAAAATTCATTCATAATCCCATTACCCAGAAATTATCATGGCTGTTATTTTCATGTATATAGTCTCAAGTCTTCTTTCTTTATGCTTATTCATCCATCTATGCATTGGCTTAGCATTTATTAAATGTGACTCTTTGTACTAACTGGTACATTATTCAAATGAAAACAATTTGAATGTTTTTCCAGTGCCCCAATGTGCACTGAATATTCTCTAAGTGTAAAATTACAAAGCCAAAACATTAAGAAACTCCCAATGATACAGAATGCTAGAGCATTCTTAAAAATCCAAATATGCAACCTAACGATATTTTTCAAATTGTGATTTCATAATTGCATTTTCTGTATCAATCAGAAGCAACGTTCTAACACCAGTTTGAAAACAATACTTCTTAAACTGTGGTAAGACTCCACCATTAATTCATTATTATTTTCTTTGTTGATTCTAAAGCTTCTCTAAGACAGGATTACTAAAAAGAAATGTTGATTATGATTGTTCAAATATTGCTTAGCATTTGTGAAGCAAACTATCCACAAAGCATGTTCTAATTACTAATCACAAAACACCTTGCTGAGTTGAAGAGAGAAATTCTTTCATCTAGGAGGGTAAGGGTCACTCTAAATCAGCATATGCGGTTGATAACCTGCTTGTTATATTTCCAGCCTCACAAGTAGCTTAAGGACTTCTTCAGCCAGAAGAAGGAGCTCCTATTGGTTGGTGATGGCTCCTACTGGTCACAGCCTTGAAGCCAACTTCCTCTTCACCGTACCAGTAATCCTGCCAAAGGGGTTGTCTAATGGCAGCAGGACCTGCAGAAAAACCACATGGTAACTTCAGAGGCATAAAAATAGGTCTCTCCTTTTTTTCCCTATGAATCAATATTAAATCAACAGCAAAAACAACTACTAAACAGGAAAATGTGAGTGTCCTACTAGCATACTTAAAGTACAGTAATGAATTTTTTTCCAGAAAACTGGTTTATGAAAATTTTGGATCACCAAGATACAACTGTTTCTCAAATTCATTACATATCCCTGCTTTTTAAATTATGTGTAGTGATGATGATTTGACCTTTTTTCTGATGACTCACTTTGAACATCAATCACTGTCCAAGGCTATAACAGCGCGTGCCCTCAGGCCCAGCTCAGGCCCTCAGGCCCACTAGGCCCATGCTAAATGGCTGCAGACAGATGGGCACTTAGATTGCTCTTGTCTTCCCACCCTGTAATTTATCACTTCCCTTCTCTTGTCAGTGTCTCTACTCCCTGCTTCTTGCGTGTTGCCCTTACTTTGTACCCCATGCTGTGGGAGAGGCTGGGCAGGGCTGCAAGCACCCCCAAAGTGCAGACACAGGCACAGACAGCTTGTTCAGCCTCCTGGGTGCCTTTATGCAGAGCGTGACCCAGAGGAACTCAGGCCCTCCTGCCTCCAGGTCCCTGGCTGAGCTCTGGGACCTGGAGTAAGGCTGTAGCCCACCAGCCAGCCTTATATCTGGGTTCAGTAGGCCCAAAGTGTTAGGAAGACCTGAGAAGCCTGTCCTCTCTCTGCCGGGGTCCTCGTCTAAGTCTGCTCTCTTTATGACAGTTGACCCTTTCCCTGCTTGGGGTGTATTTCTTTCACCTATGATGGCAATGGTCGGTGTTACTTTTATTTCATTACTACATTTCCAGCATTGTAAGTGAGTTAAGGGATTCTTCAGCCAAGAAGGAATTCCTCCTTCTATTAGTGATGGCGGTGTCACAGCCTCAAAACCAGCTGTACCAGTAATCTTTTCAAAAAGGCTGACATTCTCACTAATGGCTTTGTGATCATCAATATCCTTTCTTTCCTCTCAAGTTAACAGTCCTTTTTCAACTGTCCCTTTGTCCACTCTGATAGAGACATGATAATCATTCAATAATATTAAATGGATGCATGGATGGATGAATCTGTATCTTTCATCCTCTGCACCCCCTGAAACATAGACCCTTGGTCTAACTGACCCTCCTCAGATTCCTGAATATGAGGCTTAGACACAGAATTTTCAGCAAAACTAAAGAACTACAGCAGTGGCATGTGTTTTCAGGACAGATAGATTTTTTTCCATTTTTTTCTCTCTTCTCACAGCATGTAAATCAAGCTTGCTCTCTTTGCAAGTCAGGGGTCGATTTCAGCTAGACCAGGCATCAAAGCACAACCCTTGAACGCCAGCTCTTCTCTGCAACCTCCACCTATACCTGTAGTAGCACTGAGTAGGATGGAGCCATCAGCAGGCCAGGGGCAAGGTGCCTGGCCACAGGGGTGTGACTATGAATGCTGCTGGGACATTCTGGACACTGGCCTTTGTCCACCAAAGGAGATGGTTCAAGGGCAGCAGAGTCATTTCAGTGAATGGCATGTCCCTATGTCACTCCCTCTACACATACTAAAAGAAGCTGCCCAAATTATTGAAGCCTGTGCAAGAAAGGATCAAACAGAAACATCTTGCTATTCTGCAAGAGGTTCTGGGGCGGGCAGGACATTCTGGTCTGCCAGGATGGTCACTGCAGGTTTTCTCTTGGGGTTTCAGTCACACAGGTCAGATACCCCAGCTTGGGTTAATCTGTCAAGTCTGAGAACAGGATGAACACTTTTTCCAATTAAGTTTTTCTTTCAAAAACTGGATTCCTCACTTGCTTTTTTAGAATTACAATTAGAAACGCAAATTCTTTTTCATCTTTTCTGTGCATAGTGTGTGCTATTGAATTAAGTACTTATTTGAAAGTTAAAGGTGTTGGACAAAATGAAAATAGAGCTTTTCTCCTCCCTCCATCACCTCATGATAGAAGAATAATGCGACCTTGGGTGGCAATTTTCTGAGAAGAGGATCTCAGAGTGGTTTCCTTGGGCACACTCTGTTCTTTGTCTTCCATTCAGCTACAACTACCAACCCTCTCCTGTAAAGATTCATTCACTTCAGGAGTACTCCACCTTCAGGTATTAAAAGGCCTGGAATCTAGGAGGACTCTAATCAGAGGCAGAAATTTTGCAGAAGCAATGGTTAAGAGTCCTGAGTTTATAAAGAGGGGTAAAGGAGAAACAGGAAGAAGGAAGTTGTGCCTTAAATATTTTTAAAGTTCCCTTCACCTGTTTATTGCATTTGGGGAACCCAAATGCCCAAAAATAGATGACTAGACCAAGAAGATGTGGTATATTTACACAACGGAATACTACTCAGCAATCCAAAAAGATAAACTCATGCCATTTGCAGCAACATGGATGGAGCTGGTAGGGATCATGCTAAGTTAAATAAGCCAAAACGAAAAATAAAAATACCAGATGGTTTCACGAAGGAGGAATGTAGGTGACCTAAATAAAGTATCAGCGGGAAAAAGAAGTAATGATAATAAAGTAAAAATCAAAATCAACTGGCAACTATAAACCAGAGACATTCTGTAGGGGGGTAGGGAGGGGCAAGGAGGAGGAAGTTGGATCAAAACAGGGGTGGGAAGGGCACAAGATATACAGTAATGGTACATGGGGGAATTGGTGGTGGGAATTTCATGGGCACTCTACCCCAAGATGATAAAGCAAACATTGTATGAACATGAAGAATATGTAATAAATATATAAAATATTGCATGATTAAGTTCTCTTACCTCTTCCTTGTTGATCAGTCCCATTTTGGACATGTCTATGTTAAAGTAGTGAATATTCGGCAGGCTGATTTCCATATCTTCTATCTGGAATCCACAATATGTGTAAGATAGGGTGACTGTGTATGTAACTCACTGTCATGCCTCCATTCCCCCCCATCTGTCACTCACATGTCACCACTGTCCCTGAGATATCCTCTGACGTTCTCTATTGCCTGACACTGTTATTTCCTGCCAGTCCTACTACTGCGTAGGAGCCTTCCCTCTAGGCACAAAACCAGCTTCTCAGAAGCTGAGAACTCAGAGCACAACCTGCCTAGAGACTTCAGTGCACAACCTGCCTTCTGGTTGAAGCCACTCAACCTCCTAAAGTCCTTCTTGTTCCATTCCCCCCTCACCAGGCCTGTCCCTACCATTTCAGGCCCTGGCCTAATAGTATACCTAGAGGCCTACACAACAGAAGTCTCAAGATGTATAAGTTATAAATCAAGCTAAGATATCTTAAATGAAATGTGCTCTATCCTTCTAACTTGACAGATAGCAACCTGGAAGGTCAGATTCTAATTTAAAATTTCCTGACTCCTTGGAGTGCCACAGAAGATGTGGTGGTATGTGATGTGCCAGTGTCCAGCTCCTGGATCATCCCAAATTTCTCCCTCATACCTCCTGAAATCACCTGCCCCTTCACCCACTCTGATGGAGTTAGGATCATCATTCAATAATATCAACTGGATGCATGGATGGATAAATAAGTGAATGGATGAAATCTCTCTGTATCTATCTTTCATCCACTGCACCTCCTGAAACATAGGCCTCTGTCCCTTCTCCCGTTCCCAAATATGAGCCTTAAAGTGTAGCAGGTTCAAGAGACTCAGAATTTTCAACAAAACTAGAGAACGACAGCAATGGCCTGTGTTTTCAGGTTGGACAGATTTTTCCATTTTTTGCTCTCTTCTCACTTGCTATATCAAGCTTTTGAACAACAACAGATGTCAGATTTCTTATGTCTTCCACTTTGTTATTTTAATCCTCAACTCTTCCTCAGACCTGATGGGACATGTGAGTTCTCTCAGTCCTCAGAAAGGCAAGTGACAGGCATACCTCAGGGACCTGGCTGAGGCAGAGCACCTGGATGTCATAGAGGGTCTTCTGGACAGACGGTGAGTACTCGCCTTTGTCATAGGGGCCAGAAAATTTTGCAAGGACAATTTCTCGAACAGTGTCCCTAAAACGCAGAAAAGAAAGAGAATAGAGGGCTCTCACAGAGTGATCTTTCAGAAAGTACTCATTGTAAGCTAAGAAGCAGTAACCATTTTCTTCTAGAAAACAATTTTATTGTTGATATTCAAGAGATTAATATTTTGTAATGCAAAAAAAAAAAAACCTCACTTCCCATTCCCTACACATGTGCAAACATTTTCTCTCTCACTCTCCTTTCTCCCTCTCCTTTTTTCCCTCTCTTTCCTCCTCCACCACCGCTATTCCACAAGCTTACTGAACATCACAAGACCTTCATAATATGGCACCAGAGTCTAGTGTATTTCTCTTTAGGTTTGAAGAAATAATGAAATGAACACTTAAGAACTCTAACACTCTTACTCATGGGCTTGGCTAGTTGCTGGAATTGGTGCATATTAGGACTTTTCTTACATGCTAAACTCTATGCTAAGTATTTTATGAGATGACTTCATCAAATTCCCTTACTGTTCTAGGAACAGGTGCTACTATTATCCCCAATTTATAGATGAGGAATCTGAGCTTTAAAGTGAAGTGATCTGCTCTGGCTTCAAAAGCTCATGGGTTAGGCATTAAATGTCCACTCAAACGCCCTCTCTTGGTGGGAGGCCCAAATAGCACGGCTACAAAACGTCATACTCTTTTTCAATACAAATACATCAGACTGATACTCATGTGGAATACTTATAAACAAAGAAAGGAAAAATGATCAGGGTAAGATTTTCTTAGAGCGTGTCATGCTTATCACAAAATTAAGGAGCAGAACAAAACTATACCAGTGGAGGGAGTTGGGAGGTGGAGAGCAGATTTCAGTTCCTCACAGGGTAGAAGTTGCTAAGAAAGAAAATTTCAGCAAAGGAATGAGATGATGAGATGTCTGATCAAAATGCAAGTCTGGAATTTAGAGTCTTAATTACAGTTTGTCAAGGATACTGTACTATACCCTTACAATAACCAGTAACCATACCCTTGACAGATCTGAGGCATTTATCATGTATTTAGTGCTTCTGTGAATATCATCTCATTTTGAGTTTAGCCAAGGTTGACCAATTAACTCACTTTGTCTGATCAAACAGTTTCATGGGACTTGGTAATTTCGATGTTAAATTTTTTAGAAAGTTCTTGGCAAACTGAGATGAAATAGTTATCCTAGTTTAGTCCTCTGAATCCATTAGGAGGTACTAAGGCCAAACATTATCCTCATTTGAGACGACCATGCTTCGTAAAGTATACCCCCCCTCCCTGGTCCAGCCACATTGGCATCATCGAGGAGTTTGTTAAAACTCAAGTTTGTTAAACAAATGCAAGATCTCAGACCTACAGAATCATAACCATTCAGGATAGACTCAGAGATTTGCATTTTAACAAGCTCTCCAGGTGATTCTGATACATAGTAATGTTTGAGAACTACTGATTTAATTATTTTTTAAAAGATTTGTTTATTTATACATACAAGAACTGGGATACAGGCCAAAGGTGGGGGTTAGGGGACAGGGAATGAGAGCATTCACCAGAGACTGAACGGGGAACAGAACAGACAGACTGACTGAGATACACTGCTGAGGGGAGGAGTGGGTGCGTCAGGAGAGGTCTGCTGCACCATGTGGGTCAGCTCCCTGGCTGGGGATCAAACTCATACTGCAGTGGCTGTGGAAGCCTCATAGTTCTGAGAATTAACACTGTGAGCCACCAGAGAGCTCCAGATTTAATTATTTTAACACCAGAAATTAGGTATCCATTCAAGGTCATGTAGCTAACAGCATCTAAGATTCAAGTGACAATTTACTAATTCAAAGACCAGTGTCTTTGTTATTCCAAATCCAAAAAGAAAGGAATTTGAACAATGCAGATGTTGAATTGAATGGCTTCTAAGTTTCCTGTCATGTCAAAGATTTCATGAACTCCTGGCCTAGGAAGAAGGCAAACACCATTTCACTACCTGTACCAGCACCAGATCCCAGGACGCCCTCATACCAGGTGGTCTCAAAATCCACGTCTCTGCTCCGCTGGTAGCGCCACTTGCAGTAAACTTGGGTGGCAAAGCAGCGGTCCTTCACCTCAGGGAGGGTGGTGAACTGGTCCTTGATAAATCCTTCAAATCCAGACTGGGTTGTTTTCAAGACCTTGAGGTCTTTGATTCCAGAATGAACGACTGGAGTTCCTATTTAAGTAAAAATGTAAGAGGGTATAAATCCTTCAAATCCAGACTGGGTTGTTTTCAAGACCTTGAGGTCTTTGATTCCAGAATGAATGGCTGGAGTTCCTATTTAAGTAAAAATGTATGAGGGGATGTGGTGATAAGCAAAACAACACCTTGCTACTGATATCTAACCCTGAGGATCCAGGCACTGAAACATGATGTGTTATGTTGGCATGAAAACTGCATCCCTGCCCATGTTTTCTGTCATAATGTCTTTTGAAGTCAAAGTGATGAGGATGGCGTGCTGTTTCTGTAGGAGGATGGTCCCAGGAAAAGGGGAGGTCCCAGGAAAAGGGGAGGTTACTGACCCACAAAAGGAGGGGAGGTGTCACTGAGCAGGGAGGAGAGGAAGCTGGGGAGGAGAGTGGAGAAGGAAGGAAGCAGGAGGGAGAGCCAGGAGGAGACCTGGAGGAGGCACTCCGAGCAGAAAAGAAACAGTGCTTACTTTTTGGTCCTGGACTAGTTGAAACAGATGTGGGTGAGAGACCCATAGGAAGATGACTATGGCAGTTTTTATCTTGCTTTTGATTTTGCTCATTTCCTCCCAGACTTGTCTGTTTCTGATCCCTTTCTAGGGGTCCCGGCCGAGAGGTGCTTTAGAGTTGGGGCAGGCTTTTGGCCTTGCTCTCAGCCAAAGTCCTGTTTGTGTGGACTATTACATATGAGCGGAGGGGTAATTTGGGATGTTTGATTTAGAAACTATATACTTTGTCTTCTCTTTATTACACACTAATTGTATTAAAGCTCCTCTCCACTAAAGGTCTGTGTGCTTTGTCTTGATGTGGCAAATAGCAGAGCCTATTTAGAGGAGGCAGGTTTAGAGGCTCTGGGGTCTCCTCTCTTGCCCTATAACATTGCCTCTAGCTATATACCTTACTCCTTGCCCTCTCCTCCCCTATGATAACTGAAAGTCAGAGAATTTGCCTCCATGTTGTGTTGAAGTCCAAAGAAATAAATGCCTTCCTCTCAGCTACATGCAGGTGTCTCCCGAGCCAATTTACCTTCTGCATTTTGAGCTCCAGCTCGCTCAACAGACAACCATACTGAAAGGGGTTAACAAGCTCACAAGCTCCTCCTGAACAGTTCCTCTGTCTGCCACTGTGATTCCTTCTTTTTGGTGTGTGTGTGGGGGGAGGGTGGTTGGGGGGGAGTGGGAGCAGTTCTCATGTGACTGTCTGCACTGTTTGAGTGATTGAGGCCTCCTATCAGCTCCATACCCTGATAGGTTCTCAGTTACCTTGTGGTTATGAGCTCAGTGAACCAAGGGGAAACAGGGTGGGCCTGGCTGAACTTACCAGAATAGGAAGATGAGGTGATGACCCACAGGGTATAGATCTGCCTAAGTGGATAGCTGCTAAGACTTTTGGAATTTGACTGAATGGAAAGGGACAAGTTGGTTCATGGGAGCATGGGCACAGGGGACAGAGCTAAAAACAATGAAGGGGGAGGGCGGGTGTGTGTCTCCTGCAGCCCTTCCCATCACCTCATGAGATGGATGGGAGGAGGAAAAGGTAACAAACAGTTCCTTTTCTGAAAAATCTGTTGACTGTGTGTGTTGAACATATCCAGCTGCAGGCCCAAGTGACAGGTGGAGTACAGAGTTAGGAAAGGAAGATTCTTTTTTTCCATGTGGGACATAGTGTTGTTCCAGAGTTCAGTGAGGCCTGAAGAGAACATGATGCCATTGACTCAGTGGGAAGCCCCAGGGGATGATGCTCTGTGGAGAGCAACATTATTCCCAAGGAGCAGAGGCAACTGGTTCAGCAGAAGCTGAGTAGATCTGGGGTTGCTGTTATACCTGGTGGATGTGAACTTCTCCCTGAGCACATGTGAGACAGTTCTTCAGGCCGTCGAAAGGATTTTGGCCAGAGAGGTCCAACAGTTTTTTAATGGTAGAGTTATAAGACCAGGAGATTTCAGGAATTAACATCACCATAGCAACATCACGATGGCTTTATATATATGCACAGGCTGGTGAAGCCAGGACATTCAGGGACAGTTAGGTACAAAAATCCCCAAAATACAATGCTGTAGCAGAATGACTGGTCACCTCTTAATTTCATAGTTAGTCCAGACAAGTACCTGCACTTCCTGACTTATTTAATCTTCAGTCGGGGCTGTAGGTGTCAGGCATCACTACAGTGTTCATTGTCTTAGTTTAAGGACAAAAATGTAACTCATGACCCTTAACTAAAATCCTTAATAATCCAGTGGTTTCAATCACCTGGGTGGCTTCAATTGCTGTGGTTAACTCAGTGGCTATGGAGTTTCAGAAACAGGTAAATAATGGCTATAATTTGATGTTTCCCTAGTCACATAGGTTCACCTAGCAGAGAAAGAAATGACCAGTAGCTAGTGCTAGATCTTCTGATTAAATAGGTACTAATTAGATAAGGTATTCTGGCCAGATTTTGCAGGATAAAATGGATAAATATAAAACAAGCTTTGTCTCACATTCTGAAGTTCTCTCTGGAAGCTAAATCCGAAGAAGATTCAAAAGAAAGATACCAGCAAAGCCTTAAGCTGGCTGGGTTTATCAAATTATAAATGTATGCAGACATAGTTCTCCAAGATCAGCATTTCTAAATGCAGTATAGAGCTGATCCAAGTGTGTTTAAATTTCAAATGCAAAAGCTCTGCAGAAGCACCAACGAGTATCTGCCGGTTGAATGAATGAGTGCAGCAAGATTAATTCACTTCATGGAATAAGTAGCTCACAATTTAGTTGATTTCCCTTCCAAACAAGTCCTTACCATTCTTTTCTGCTTCTCTGCACTGGGACAGGAGGGCAAGAAGTGTCCATTTTAGCTAATAAGTCCAGACTGTTTACATGCAATTGGTTACTGTTTTTTTCCAGTCTTTATCTATTTTATCCTCACAACTGTATTAAGTTAATTTTCTTTATACAGATAATTTTTACTCATGTGTCCATCATTGCATAGAAAGACTGGCAGAGGTGGTGTTTAAACACAGTACCCCACTATGAGATTCCATGCTTTTCTACCTCCTTTTTTGGTCACTTCCCATTTACACAATGTTTTCTCCTTTCTTTGACTCTCTTTCCTCATTTCTTGTCTCCTTTCCAGGAGTCAAAAAGGTTGCCACCTCCCCTCCCAGTGTGCTTAGAGGGCCTCAGGCACCTCCAACCTGAAAGTACCTTCTCCATGGATCTGAAATGGAAATTAAAGCATTATTTTTAGAAATAGCTCCTACTTGTCTTAAAAATTCCTTAAAAATTCACTCTGAACACCCTCCCTGGTGGCACAACGGGTTAAGGCACAGCACTGCAAGCTAGGCACTGTCGCTTCAGTGCAAGTTCATTCCCAGGCCCCGGAGGTGGCCCACATGGCGCGGCAGACCTCTTCTGACTCATCCACTGCTCCCCTCAGCAGTGTACTTCTTCTATCTGCCTGTTCTGCTCCCCACTCTGTCTCTGAATCCTCTCACTGCCCTTGCACCTCTGGCCTATACCCCAGTTCTATATGCATAAATAAATAAACTTTAAAAAAAAAATTCACTACTGAAATACCAAGACTCACTAAAGGCGTGACTCCTTACATCTTTGAAAAGTAAAATTATAATTTAACTTCTGAGGGAAATAAAAAAACCCTACAGAAATGAAGTATAGGCTTGCAGTCAGGAGTTGGTATAACAACCTTTGAAGAGTGATAAGGAGAAAACCAAAGGCAAACTTTCCCTAGTTCATCTTTTCCTAGACAGCTGACTTTGGTTAAGTTAAGTCAATCAGACTTTGGTTCCTCCAATGGTCTTAATTTCACAAGGATTCCTGGATGCAGCATTGCAGTGTGCTTTGACACAGCCTTGGGACTCTGGGTCCCTGACTGAAATCCCAGCCCTCTCCAATCCTCTCCTCTCCTCTTTACAAGCACATTTCCCTCTAAAAAATTACTTAACCTCTCCCTACCTTGACTTTCTCATCAGTTAAATTGGGTGGGGTGGTGGGGGCGGTGGTTGAAATCCCCATGCCTAATGAGTGATAGGTGTCTCAGAAAATACACAGGAAGAACTTAATAGAATGGTTGTCCCACAGCAAATGCTCTATCAAACGCTTTTATGATGGTTTTGTCATAATCAACTTTTCTTACCAATTTCAACCACCTGTAAATATTTCCCCATGTTTCCCAAAGGCTCATTGAGTTCTGAAAAGTACTTCTGATGTACCATCCCCTTCCACCACCACCCCCCAATGCTAAGAGGAGATACATAATTATTTTGAGGGTGTGTCATTCTTCCTCAGCAACTTTGAATAAATCTATTTTCTTTCTAGATCTGAAAGTGAAGAAAGCAGTTGTGTTTTCTAATGTGTATTTGCCTCACTTTCACAAAGAATAAAATGTCTCATATTCCCAAAGACAATTAACTATTGCCACCATTATAGCAGAACTCAAACCCTCTACTCTGGCACGCTCATTGTTCTATGAAAAACAACAGATAGCTTTCCCTGTAAATGTGAAAAAATACTTCCTTGGCACACGGTAGATACTGGATGAAATCAGAGAGCTTATTTTATCTTCTCTATTGGCAGGGTCCCAGCTTTCTGAACACTTAAGAACCTGAGCCTTTCAAATTCATGGACCCATCAACTAAAAATATGATGCTTCACACAGTCTAAAAAAGATTCCAATTTAGACCAAGAAGAAGTAATTCAACCAAAAAGACTGTCCTTTTCTAGGTTACCTCCCATGAAACTACTTAATCAGCTTTCTCCCCCCTTTCCTTCATGGTTATAGAGTAATGCAAAATAAAGATTTTTACATTTTACTTTGCTAGAACATAATCTTTTCCAGCTTTTAGTGTCCTCCTACACACTCAACAGATTGTGATTTATCTCTCAGAGAGCATACATCCTACCCTTTAGCTCTCTAAGGGAAAGAAGCTCCCTGGGAATTAATAGAAAACAAGCCCAGCTTACCTACGCATCAGGTGTCACAAAGCACAAA